CGTTTGGACCAGTGTTTCTCACCTTGGGCAGTTTAAAGGTGGTTGGACTTAAACCCCCAGACCCCCCCGGCCAGTTGGCTGTCTGGGGAGTTCTGGGAGTTGAAGTCCACACAGCTTAAAGCTGCCAAGGTTGAGAAACACTGCTCTAACCGAAAAGCAGCATTAAGTGGCTGAAGAGGTAGCTGAATAAAGGAAGAGAAACCCACTTCAGCCTCCCCTTCCCAGTCTGAACACATACATAGGCTCCCACAATGCTGTTCTTGGCCGCAACGAAAATCAAGGAGGTGAAGATGGCCGATCCCAGCATCCCGACGGCGCAGACGAGAGGATCCGCTCTCTGTGTTTTCACCCGGCACCACTTGGTAGCTCCAGCCCCAGTGATCACACCCAGAAATCCAGTGAAGCAAGTGATGGCTCCAAAGATCAAGCTAAGGACACAGAGCGATTCCAGAAATAAAAACCTTTCTCATTTATGTGGACTTATTTTTATACACAAGGCAGCAGGTGAGAGGCATGTGGGGGGTTAAATTAGCAAAACAAGGCAATGAGTAAGAGGTGCTACCTGGAAATTGATGGATAAAACCCCCGAAAAAGAAACCAGAAAACAAAAAATGTAGGCTCTGAGGATCTTCACGTTTCCTAGGAATTCTAGGTTCTTTTATCATTCAGATCTGAGGTTTTTTGTTGAGGCAATAAATGGAAAACTAAAAACATGTACATTTAAGGAGTTCATTTAAACCCTACAGTATCTCTGGGCAAGCTAGCCTTTGCCACGCCATGCCCCCATTCAACTGTTCTTAATTAAATCATTTACTCCTTGAGCTTCCTTCATTTTTCCTATCATTAAACAAAATACGAATCCCTGCCTCTCAGGGTAGTTGTGACAATTAAGACAACAAAAGCAGCAAAGGTACAGAGTGATACGAGCAGACAGAATTTAAAAAATAAAGTTCTGCCTTTACTCTCCTCTCAGGACTCAAACATTGTCATGGCTCCAAGAAGAAATAAAAGGCCCACATCCATGCAGTGCTTAAACGGACCCCAGTAAAAGTAGCACCCTTCAAATGGGCCTTGGTGGCTGCAACCTCAGGAGGGACACCAGTTGATAGCCTTAAGAATGTAAAAACACGGGATGTTCCAGCAGCCCCTTAATTCAGTTATTTGATGGAAAAGGTTTGGATGTTCCTAACCATCATGATAGAGAGAATCTTGAGATTTATTGTAATTTTTGTAACGTGGAGTCCTTGGGGTTCTCTGAGCTTGGTTGTTTTCCTGCAAGTGTTCCATTACCTGGCTATATAACATCTTCAGTGACCAACCAGGCTCAGAGAATCCCAAGGACTCCACAGTTCAACCCTGAGCTATATATATTCTCTTCTAATTTTTGTAACTGCATAATCTGTTTTAAAATGAGCTTCTAATAAATTTTTGCAATAAGCATTCCTGCTTGTTTTTTTTTTTTTAAAGAATCTATAAAAAGCCTTGAGAATTGTATTAAATATTTGTTAAACCAAGACTCTTCTATCCAAAACTGGATGTCTCTAGAAAGCCAAAAAGAACAGCCTGAGCTGCAAACAATACAGGTAGTCCTCGTTTAGTGACTGACTCATTTAGTGACCGTTCGCAGTTATGACAGCAATGAAAAAGCAACACTGCAACCAGTCCTTGTATTTACGACCTTCACAGGTCTGTAAAGTAAAGGAAAGCTGAACTAAAATAATAAAATAATGATGTTTCACTTAGCAACCACTTCTCTTAACAACTGAGTTGCTGGTCCCAAATGTAGTTGCTAAACGAGTACTACCTCTCCTTTTGTTTCACTCCCAGACTATGGTATCTTCAGATGAACTGCAACTAAGCAGGGAGGCTCAGTTTCTGACTATCTGTGGCTAGCCAGGCCTGTCCGCTAGGAAGCACTCAAGCTCCTGGCGTGTTCGTGCTTGCTGTCTCTGAACACAGCAATTCCATTTATTCATTTAAAATGTGTACTGCCCACTCTTCCTTTGGAGGTTTAGATCAGCATCTGCTATACCATAAAGCAAATACAGCCAACAATAGTGAACCTGTTCTGGGGAAATCTCTTGTATCCGAAAGAGAGTGGGTTTTCTGGTGCCCGACGCATCATGGCTTGCAAAGGCAAGAATGCCAGCAGCTAAAAGAGCTGACGCTTATAGGTGGACAAGAACACAGAACAAAACCTCACCTGTCTTTGGTCCCACAGGGCTGTGAAGTGCAAATCTCTGCTGTTTTTTGAACAACCTGGGCCCGATGCAGGTAAAGAGGGATCCACATCCCCAAAGCCCCCGTGGCAAAGGAAACAGCGGAGGTTGCCAGGGAGGAGAACACGTAGCTGCGACTGGAGACAAAGGGGGTTGTGGGTGAGTAAATGAAGGGAGTCCCCCTGACAGAGTAGAAGAAAGGAGGAGATCTGCTCCAGGAAATATCTGATCGCTCTCACTCACACAGTAGTTTGCAAACAAACCCAAAAACTCTCAGCAAAGTTTGAGATCTATAATTTCCACCACAGAACTGCAGCTCCACGTTGAAAGGGGGAAAAACGATGCCAGTTTAAGATGATAGTGCAAAGCAGTTGAAAGTCCTCTAGGGAGGAACTGTTATCATTTCTCTAATATATACCACACTTAGCACGAGTGGTGTTGAAATTACATTAAACAGTCACTGTCATCAGTCGCTTCATGAAAAACAAGCAGATGTTTGGAAAAAGAAGCTGGAGAAGTGGAGCACTGTGGCAGTTTTAAAAAATGTTAGTCTCAGTTGCCTGCCTTTGCTCCAGTGAAGTATCTGAAGTTAACCGGTTTCTAACACAGAAAAATTAAAAACCAAGCTTAACCAAGCAGGGTTGCCTTACTTTCTTATCAAGGCCTTCATGTCCCTCAGCCAGGAGCTCCGGGCCTTCAGCTGGGCCCCCAGTTGCTCAGCATTGCCTCTCTTAGCAGCCGGTACAAATATTAAGATCAGCGTCCCCGTGATCATGCCTAAAAGTGGAGAAACCTGGAAGAGAAGAGTGAAAAAAACAGCTAAGAGTATAGCCCAAAGCAAATGACCTGACATCAAAAATCAAGACAAAGGAGAGGATTCCTAGGGCAGAGCAGAAATCCACCCCTCTGATTCACCTCCTCTAGTTTTTCTTATAAAATTAAGAAATTCCTAATCCTTGTCATTGCAAAGAAAAGACTGGAAGGGCTGGGCTGAATCTTCAGAACTGAGGTCTGAAAAGTCTGGAGGGCAAATTATTCATCTCCACGCAAATAAATATTTATTTATTTAAAAGACTGGAAAGGAGGGGGTTACCTATGCAATCAAATCGTTTTAAAAACAGCCACTTTTACAACTCCTTGTACTACAAGTGAATTTACGGAGGTAAAGTTTTGATTCCAGGTTAATCAGAACCAGTTAGGCCACTTTGTTTTATCCACGTCACCATCCATACATAGCAGTAATAATAATCTAAGAGGACTCAAACCCATAACCCCTGACA